TTTTCTTATATTTTTTCGTAAAAACGGAAATATTTTAAAATTCGAGTCGCGAGGAGAAGTGTCATTTACAGGAGACAAAGTGTTTTTCTATGACTTATGCGTTTTTCTTTCGTATATGTTTTATCTATGTGTATCTCTATATATATATTTTGACGTTTGGAATTTGCTAAAAACACTCGTATGAATGTAATTTTCAATAGTTTCTATACATTGAATAGATTAATGATGCACAGACGACAAATATAAACCCATCATCAAATATGTAACTTGCACGTTATATAAAATTTGTTATTGAAATTAGTGAAAAGGGAGTTTATAAGCAAATATTTACAAAATAGTACAAGTACGCGATGTATATGGAATCACTGTAATGTTTACTGCCTTGACATTCACAGACACCCACGTTTATCAGGGAATGTTTTTAAGTGAAAAATCATCCTCCAATTTCTCATTCTCTCGTCGTATACAGGTAAGTGATTAACATTAGTTTAAAATATTTTAACTTTATAGACTCGAATCTTTAATTTTATTCATTTCTAGATGATGTCAGACGTTATCCAGATGTAGCTATAATTATACTTTTAAGTTGAGAGGCGCTGAATTAAATTTCTTTCAGTTAAAAATAAAATAAATTACATGTAATTTGTAACTTACATCGATTCATTATGTCTAACATTCGCTAAATAAATAAATATATATATATATATTTTGCTATATACACGCGTAAACAACGTTTTTTAAGAAGAAAATGATACGTAATTTAGTTAAGTTTAATTAAATTTAGATGTGGGATTTTCTCGTCTTTTATCTGTGCATAAATTAAATGCATAGTTTACAACGATTAAACAATATAATAAATATTTAATTAAATTTCGGTTATTTAATTTTTATATATATATTTTTATTAAGGGGAAGGAAGAAATCTCGCATCTCTTAAGAGAGAATTTCAGGTCGCTGACCTTTTCTATCTATTCTATTTATTTTGAAAGTTCCCGACGGAGATATATTAGTATATTTATGTATATATCCTATTACAATAGGAAGATTTTTCAAAATGAAATGATTTAAAATATTACGATATAAAGATGTTTGTTTATCTAATGATTCTACTTCATATATTATCAGGAGAATGCCCCGCGAATCCTTTTTTTTTTTCCGGCCAGATTTAAATGCATAAAACAGAAAAAAATGTATGGCAATTGCATTTGAATTTATGTGCATATTTTGCATTTTTCATCGACTTTTCACTTCTTTTATGCAGTGGCAATGATACGGTCCTTAGCAGAGGAATGCTTATCTTATGTTACTTATGGAACTAGCTACATCTATCAAGCGACTTTGGAATCTGAAATGAATCATTCTATATTTAATCGTAAAAGAGAAAAATGGATGAATATTCTCCATATATTATAAGAGATATAAATCAGTTAAAATATCTTCTTAAATCTTGCAAAAATTCGTTAAACAGAGCTTAGATATATCACACACAGAGAGAAAGAGAGAACATGTTTACAGTGTACTTATCTAAACTTTAGATACTTTTTTCTAGATTTATAGATTTATATATAACAAAATAAACTAGAGAACTTAGAAAAATATATTTTTCTCTTATGTTTACAAAAGAAAATAGCATCAGAACTTAAAAGCAGATTTCAAAATTTAATCTAGAACTTATGAAAGAAGTCGCTTTATCAATACGTAACTAACTAGCATTGTTTTTCTTTTTAATATTCAGCTAACTAACTACTATTTTTTATGTTTTCCTTGTTTATTAGAGAGCAAAGACCTCTTTTCTAATAACACGCTAATTATTACAGAGCATAAACTTAATACTTTTACATATTCTTCGAATTATTCCTTAATAAAAATCATTCTGAGTCGAAGAAAAAAAAAGGAATTTTATGTTGAAACAAACGTTTTTAATAGTGGCATTAAACTAAAATTTATTCGGAATCTAATTACATTTGATGATCTAAAAATTTTAATTATTATTTTCTGATTAAAATTCACGTTAAGTTTTCATTTCTTTCTTTCTTTCTTATCTAAATTATTTTATTTTTCTATTCTAAAATTATTCTTTGATTTATGATAATTTCTTCAGGGGGAATAAACTTGTTAAAATTTCACAAATATTTTATTTTTATTACATTCGAGCAATTAAAACCTACTCTTAACACATTAATCAATGTAGTTTATCCGAACCCTACCGTAAATTTAGCATTGTTTCTTTTATTATGAACTGTAAAAAATGAATCGTTTGCGTTTTATTTATATATGTGCGAAGTAAATTCGGAAAGAGTAGCTTATTTGAATGATTAAATAAATATAAACGTGGAGTGGAAACTGAGTGAGGAGAAGGTGAAGTATCGGTAGTGTTCTAACCGCAGTTGTGTAAGTGTTGCTGTATTAATTGTATAAGTTCTGGTCATTGATGCTGTGCGAATTGTGTTAGTTGTAATCACTGCTGCTGTGTTAATTGTTTGAACCTGTTCGTATTAAATTTATTCATTTAATGTGTAAATTATTATTAAAAATTATTTATAGAATGCATAATTTATTTATTTAATAATTACTACAAGTAATATTCAGTTGACAAGAAGAAACCATCCCTTAAACACCCTTAAGTAAAAGGAAAAATCATTATAAATTATAAACTTCTCTATATTAAACTCATCCAAAGATAAACCTGCAATGATTACATCTACAATTGAACTTACTGGAAACATCGGATAATGTAGGGAGAAGAGAGATTGTTTATCCTTATGTATGAATATATATGATCTCTGTTTGCTTCGTGTGTGAGTAAAGAATAAAGAATAAACAATATATTCTCTCTATGACTAAAGAATGAGGAGCAGAAAGCAATCTATTTACAAATATGGAACGATGAAAATGATTTATTACTAATGCAGAGTGACGAGTCTTTATAAAGATTGAAGAACACAATTTTCTCATTACATACGAGAATGAGGAATCAACGGAACTTTCTCTACAAGTGAAAGATGAGGACCGAGCGATATTCTCTCTTTGTATTGTTAAAGAATGAAAAGTAAAAAACTCTTTATATAAGGAATGACGAAAAGATTATTTTTCCATTAAAGAAAAATGAATAAGTAACATTCTATTTATGAAACACATTATTTTCATTATTCTCATATGAGGAAGAGAAGACTTTATAATCTCACAAGTAACTTTATACCCTTCAGTCACGTTAAAGCGAAAAATCTTATACAGTGAATGAAGTTTCTCTTTTCTAACTTGTAAATTGAGTGATTGTTCTATTAGTTTCCCCATCCTCATTAGAGAATATTCTGTTAGTTCCTCATCCCCATTCGTCATTAAAATGAAGAACGACTGAACGAAAGTGAGCAGTTAACGTATTCATATTAAATCGTACATTTAAAACCACTACATGGAGTTAAGATACATAAATAGACCCAGAAAAGTCACTTTTAACGATAGAAAAATCGAATTTACTCTTCTATACGCGAACACAAAGAACTATCTTACATAACAACTTTCAAAGAAAGCGATAATGTCAATAATGCAGCACAAAATATAGAATTATCGCTTATATTTTTAGTTAAATAATACAAAAATTCAAAGATTACAAACAGATCATGAATAATTCATCTATTGACATTTGCCACAACTCTAGTGTTAATTGTATTTTTGGCAAACAAATTTATATACAGTAAATAACTGCATTAATACACAATAATAATAATAATAATAATAGTAATAATAATATTTTTATTTAAATTATAATCACAGGAGATAAAAATATACTTAAGTAAATTTATTAAAAATTTATAAATGCATCAAACTACAACAATATATTAAAAGTCACTTAAATGATTACGTAACAGTTTTAATCACGTTAACTTAAAATGAAAGCACTCAACTTATAAATATTACATAAGCTCATGATATAAACTTTACTTACGTAAAATTTAATATATTTTTTTATTAATTTCTACTTACAGTAAACATGCCTGAGCCTAGTAACGACTACAGGGTTGTAGTTTTTGGTGCCGGTGGTGTAGGGAAGAGTTCTCTAGTCTTACGTTTTATAAAGGGTACTTTTCGTGAAAATTATATACCAACCATTGAAGATACATATAGACAGGTAGGTAAATTATATATTTAATTAATTCTGGAAGGTAAATTATGTTTAGATTTCATTTTATTATATAAAAGGAGTCATCTGTACAGTTTCTGAGCCCTTCTTTCCTTGGTGTACATGTGACAAATGTACAGAATGGCCCACCTGACATTGAAGATACCAGATAAAAATTCCTGTTTATAACTTACCACGTGATTAGACAATGCCTTGACCCCTTCTCCCCATTTTCGTGGCCTTCCTCATCTGTAAACATAATTAACGAATGGCCCCAAAGTAGACATGTCGAATAATCTACATCACAATACAACGCGCTATAATTATGTGTATATGTCACACTATAGAATATACTTATGCAAATTAAAATGATTCTAAATATACACAAGTATAATAATTTTAATCTCATATATGTATACTTAATGAGAAATTATTCGTGGTATATTATGTTTACTATGAAACAATATAAAGTATTAAAATTATTATAGTTAATTCTATAAATCTCATTGAAAGAAGACTTCAGAACCATCCTGTAGCGTAACTAGAACTGAGATTAGGAGGCCCGAATTGGAACGTGAAAACTACATTTACCATTGTACCACTCTGAATGCAGTCATTAGGACTGTGAATGAAGAGTAAAACCGATTAGATAAAGTATATATATATATGTGTATGTGTTTTCCATGTACTTATTTAATATTTTTTCCTTTATTTACACGGGACCTTTGAGTCCTTTCCTGGTTACGCTACTGAAACTATCTACGAATACGTAATTCTAATAAAGATGTAGGATTTTCCTACATTTAGAGTAGGAAAATCCTACATCCGATGCGTCACAATACAATTTACAATATTCATATTATTGTGGAAGTCTTTTTAAAGACCGTATTTGGCCCGTGCACGCTTTAATTTTCATAATTATATTGATTTTTTTCTTATATCACAGAAATATGTGTTATATTAAGATTATGTGTAGTTAATTCAATTCGATTGATTGGGATGACGCACATTTTTTACGTAAATCTGTCGTCATTCTTTACAATTTCTCATTGAAGACATGACGTAAAATTGACGTAAAAATGCAGACTATAACAACAAATCGATATACTCTATATTTACATAATTCTAATAATTTTCTTCCTAAGTTTATATAATAGGTAAACATTGTATCCAGTCTGGATACAATATTCAAGTTAATACGGACAACACAGCAGTAGCGTAATCAGAAAAGGGCCTTACGTTTGTAAATAAAGAAAGAAAAAAATTAAATAAGTAGAAAAAAAAAATTATATATGACTACTCTTTAGCCACTGCACCAGTGGCTGCGGATGAACACAGTGCTACAGAGTACACTGTGGATGAACACAGGATACGGTGTACACAGTACACAGTGGATAAACACATAGTATCAGAGTACAAATGAACACAAGTCAACAGTGGTACAAGGTGAATGTAAATTTGCGCGTTTTAATTCGGGTCCCCTATTATTAATTTTAGTTACCCTACTATAGCATAGAATCAATTTATATGCACAAACAAAGGTTCCTCTCTTACATACACACTGACATATTAAAAAAGGGAAAATCCATTTTTTATACCTCTATATATAGATACATACAGCTTACACTGGAGAGGTATATAACAATATTTTAAACTTGACAGATGATCTACACTATCTTAAAGTTTTTTATATAAAAATTTAGAATGATTTCTTTCTATTTATAGCAAAAATTTTTGATCGAAACGAACGTAAAATAAAAAAATGGGGAATATTTCCTAAGAAAGTCTTTGTTACTTCCTTTCACCTTTTAAGAAATCCTTGTTGGCCCTATTATGGCCATAATAATGATTAATTTAATAACTTTGCAGAGCCGGAGGAATGAATCGGTAATTTTTGATGCTATTTATAATTCACAGACTTTTGTTAAGTCAGCTGCAATAAATCTATAGATAAAAAGATCCAAAGTTAAGGTGAAATTCTGTAACTTTTTGCCTTTATAGACGATTTTTATGCTTATTTTATTTTTTTTATATTTTAAAAAAATTGCAGGGAATTTTTAAAATACAGTCGGACCTACAGTTATGGCGAATATTTTTCAGGGACGTTTCTTTTTGAACTGTTCACAAAATAACCTCCAAACAACGCCCACCTCTGGACTGCGACCATTTTTTATTTCCTCGTCAGTGGCCGTTATTCAGAGGTTTGACCGTATTTAAATAATTAAAAAAAAATCTGCAGATATATATAAAATCAATAGAAAAACTAAAAAAAAGTGAAATAAAATATAAAATCTTATAAATTATTATAATTAAACGCAACTCTAAATTAATTTTTTTTAATATTTCTCTTTGTTATTTTTAAAATATATTTTTGTATAACATAATTAAATACATCGTATACTATGTTTAAATTAATTTAAAGCACGTTAAACGTCGTAATTAGTTTTCGAATAACGGTCGTTAAGCGAGCCGTCGTCGTAAATCGAATCCCAATTTCTCATATATTTAGTATCATAAATAGAGGTTCTGTTCTAGTCTTAAGTATAATTGTAAATTACAGTAAAAAATTAGAAATATAGTCAAACCTGTGAAGAAGGACACCAACGGAAACATTTGGCCAACGTTTAAAAGTTGTTTTCTATGCAATTTTGCTTAATTAAAAAAAATCGTGAAAGATGGCCACTGTTTGGAGGTGGTCGTTGTTGCAGGTTGGACTGTATACAGGGGTTTTTTTTTTATAAATATAAGATAAAAATTTCAATTTAAATTATTTTATACTCAAATATTAAGCATTTTATCAGATACTTTTTCATGACAGGTAATTTTAAATCGATTTTTTTTGTTTTTTAATTTAAAATATGAATTTTTAAAAGTAATTCTGTCAAATTATTTAATATTCTCATAAAATAATGTTTCACTTTTTCATATCCAAAATTTCCCTAATTCAATATATTCCTTTGTCAATTTCCCCACAAGGATTTTCATAAAGAAAGATATTAAATCAGGGAATTTTACTTACAATAAGACATAAATCAGGGAATTTCCGTTAAAGAATACTAAAAATGTTTAAGACAATCTAAATTAAATTAATATTTTCTTTCCCAAATTTACTGTTTTCTTCATACATTTCTCTTTAGGGAAATGGACGTTTCCCTAAAGAGAAATGTATGAAGAAAACTGATGAAATGATCGAAGGAAATGAATTGAGTGAAAAGTATTAAATCACAAAAGTTTTAGCTTAAATTAAATCGTAAAACTCCTCACATCAAACCTTAGTTTAAATTTTAAATTAATAAAGTTTTATTTTAAATTTTATCAGTTTTTCTACACGAAATTACGAGGGAATTTTAAGAAGAATTCGGTAATAATAGGGAAATTGAAAAAGAAAAAAAAAGCAAATCAGGGAAATTTTAATTTAAATTAAATCTTAAATCACAGTTATTAATACTTAGCTTATGTATTAAATTAAGACACTTGTAATTTAAATTTTTATTTTATTAATTTTCATATAGAGTATTTTTTAAATACATTCATACAGATTATTCATAGGGAAATTTTAGACTAATCCGGAAATAAGAGGGAAATTTCAGATGTTTATTAATTTGTAATTATTGTGGAAGTGGATAATTTTTTTAAAAATATTTTTTAAAGGAAAAAAGTATTCAAGAAACTTTTTAAATTAAATTATTTTTTAAATTTGAAAATATTCTTAGATTAAAGAATTTAAAGAAATCTGTTTATAGAGATTTTTCGAAAAATGATCAATAATTTATTATTTGTACAGTAATATACTTTTGAAATATAAAATTTTTAAATTGAATTTCAAAAGTTTTTATTGATTATTATTTTTTATTTATTTATTTAAAAAGGTTTGAATTTATCAAAATTAAAAAGTTAAGAAAATAAATCTTTTGATTTTTTTATATTTTAAAAATTACTTCATCTTGCTAAAATTATTTATTTATTTACTTCTCTCTTTGAATTACATAAGAAATATCTAAATAAATTAAAATATATATTTAAAAAATTAATAATAAATGAAACAAATACTGTTTAAAACGGAAATCTGCTTAAACGGGAGAAATTAGCAATTTTCTATATTAAATGAAACCTGCCAGAACCGAATAAACATTCCGCATCGTGCGAGTCCATTTTACACGGGTTTTACTGTACATAAAAATATTATTATAATTTTTAAAATTTATTAATTCTTTTTTAAAATTTTGATGAGAAATTTATTTTTAAATAAATATATTCAGTCCAACTTCCAATAACGACCACCTGCCAATAGCGGCCATTTTTCAGGAATGTATCACTTTAAACAAAAATGCATGCAAAATAACCTCCTAACAACGGCAAATTTTTTTTAACGTTCTGGTCAGTGAACGTTGTTTAGAGGTTTCACTGTATATATATAGGCCTATATATATTTTATAATGCAAACTTCCGAAATTAAAATTTAGGGAAAAATTAACGAAAATTTTCAAGGATTTTTCATTTATTTATTTAAATAAAAACGAAATTTTTATCAAGTAACAGGGAAAATTCTAATTTAAAAAACTATATAGGGATTTTCAGCAGATAAAAGAGAGAAATTTTGATAAAAACCTAACAGAATATTTTATCATTTCATGTGTATCTAAGGGAAAATTCTGACAAAATTAGGGAAATAGCGAACAAAAGGGAATAAATACATATAATAGAGAAAATTCTGACAAAAAGTGAGAATTTTTTCTATTCATAGGGAAAATTTTTACAATATAAATTTGATAAAGATTTTTATCAGTGAATGCTCACTAAAACTAAAATGTTTAATTAGAATGTAAACTTAACTTAAAAACTATAAAAACTAAATTTATCAGGTAATAGGGAAATTTCTAGTTAAACATTAAATATTTTTTTTAATCAGATAATAGAGATAAATGCGGAAAAAATTGGGGTTGGGAAGATGAAACTAAATTAGGGAATTTTTTATCAGCTAATAGGGAAATTTTAGAGTAAAAATTAAAGCAGAATTTTATCACGATTAAAATTGCATGAAGTTTCATCATAAACGAATAAAAATTTAGCGACTAGTCATTAAAATTTTTTAATGAAACAGTAAAAAAATAGAAGGAATTTTCTATTTAAAAATAAAAGAGAATAATGTAAAGGAAAATAATTAAAACGGATTTTTTTTATTATTAAAAATCAATTAAGATATATTGCAAATATCGAATTTTATTTAATAAAATGGCCATTCTCCTCCATTATTCTTCATGGGATCTTCAATTAATTAAAATGAAAGCGTTTAAAATCCATGAAGTCGAGATATTTTCTTTGTCGTGGATTAAGTGTTCGATACAATTAACTTTAATGAAGTGTATTTACAGGTGATCAACTGTAACAAAAACATCTGCACTCTACAGATCACGGATACGACTGGAAGTCACCAATTTCCAGCCATGCAACGCCTTAACATATCGAAAGCCCACGCTTTCATATTGGTCTACTCCGTTACAACAAATCAAAGCTTAGAGGAATTGTCGTCGATATTTAACATCATTAAAGAAATAAAAGGTAACATCGAAGGAATTCCCATTATGTTGGTTGGTAACAAATGCGACGAAACCGATTGTAGGGAGATCGATTTTCAATTAGGTTTAGATCAGGCGATGAGATGGGGGTGTGGTTTTATGGAAACTTCAGCTAAAACAAATTATCACGTCAAAGAGTTATTTCAGGAACTGTTAAACATGGAAAGGAGAAGAAAAATGGGTTACAGAGACAACATGAAAAATAAGTCGCGTGATAGAAAAGAAAAAATACTTAAAGGTTGCCTGTTGATGTAAAACCAGAAAAAAAAAAACAATCGCATCTCCTTTATCCCTTTGTTTTTTCCTTTACGGGACCAGATTATTTCGGACTTTAACTATTAAAACGGTATTGTTTTCGATTCGTGCGGTACTGAGTGGTCCAAAAGTCAATTAACTATGGCGTGGTGTTTACAAAAGCGTTACGTAATTCTAGAGTAACAATAAGTAGTACGATTACGTGTAATTAATAAAAGAATATGTTACGTTCGGTACCTCGAACTGTATATTATTCCTTATTACAAATAAGAGGTTGTTGATCGTTCGTGAGTTACTTAATTTTGGGACTGAATAATGCGATAGCATTACGTAATTAATAGACGATCCTTGTCTTAAATATCTGGACAAATAACTAATATTATACCAAATCTTTCTTATTCAATATACAATTAACAATACTTTAGCAAATTAAATACGTATTCGAGCGATTCGCACATGGTTAACTGACTTTTGAGCCATCCTGTATATAATTGTTAAAATAGCACATATTTATTTAATTTTTTGGGGGGAGATTTTTGTCTGTAAATTGATATTTTTTCAAGTTCGAATTCTTTATTTTTTTGAGTGTGTGTAAAGGAATCATGTATATGTTACACGTTTAAAAAAAACCATAAGATATTTCGCATCGAAGTACATTCGTTCATGCTTATGAATAAAATTGTTTTTGATCTAAAATTTATTTTTAATATAGAAGATTAACTATTAGAATTAAAAACAAAAAGTTATCCGCATTTTAAAACGCATTTTTAGTGCTATCTAAATATCCCTAAATGGCATTTAGATATCTACTGAAAAATTCATTTCAACTTTTTCGTATTCCTGAAATTTCCCGTAAGTCGGGGATTTTTCTTTTTAATTTACCGAATTTTGTCAATTTTTATAATGCTTAAAACTGATAGAAGGAAGTTTACGAATAACACATTCATAAAATAAAAAGAAATTTAAATACTTTAATTTATAAAAGAGGACATTCAAAATTTTCAGAAAAATCAGAGAAATTATCGGAAAATTTAAAAATTACATCTTTAAATTTGTAAGAAAAGCGAATAAAAAATTTATTTGGTGTCTTAATGTTTTTCTAAACTGGAAGTTTGTCATTAGATGTGTATAAATAGGAAAAAATGCCATTTATAGAGTCAGGTTCGAGTAATAATTGTGATAATTATATTGATCTCAACGTTATAATCTCAAGGACAATGACCTAAGTGACAATTAAGAATTCCTAGAAGTTCTAACTTAGAACTTCTAAGGTCAAAGACAATTAATAATCTGACACCTTCAAGAAAGAAAAAAGAAGGAAAAAAGAAAAATGGATACTTAATCATAAATTTGTCAGCTGATAGATAAACGATAATAAAAATTTAAAATTTCCCTATGCTATTGAAAGTATCCATTAGACTGTATCGACTTAATGATTTTTCCCTAATATTGAGGGTTTATCCCCTCAACTTTCATATAAAAATTTGTTTAATTGAAAAAAAATTTTTTTGGATTATAATATAAATTTTTTTGTTACAATAATGAAATAAAAATTTTATTATTAAAAGAATATTAAAATAAAATTTAGGGCAATTTCATTGATTCTAATTAAGCAAGACAAAATTAGAAAAGAAGCATCAATTGATTTTGTGGCAAATAACATGATTTATTGGCATCTTTTACGTAAAATAACAAATCAATGATGCTATTTATGTTCTTCATTAACATCTTCAATCGATTAAACAAACTTTACTCTGATCAGACTTCAATTTTCTCAATCATCAACTCCTTTTTTTCCCATTACAATAACTAATTTTGTAGTATTTAATAATTTTAAAAGTAATTCACTTTGTTTTTCCACTTTAAAACTCAATTACACAATTTTTTTGTGCCTATTAATAATGTATATTTTATATATGTTACTGAATATGACTTGTAACAAATTCACTGTATCTTTTCATTTTTATTGTAAAATATTATTTGCAGCCATTTTATACTGGTTATACCTTTCATTTTTTTGTCCTGGCTGCAGATCTCATCTGGCAATTAAAATTTCTAAAATATCCATTTGTTGAATGGGTTTTCTATCCTACAGATCAATAAAATTCTCAACTTAATTAATGAATTATCAAAGAAAACAAATCAAAATTCCTTCAATTAATGTGCATTAGCCATTTGGCATAAGGTTGTATATGATTAATTAGTTACATATTTGTGAGTGGATGTAAAATGCTCAAAAAATTAAAAAAAAAATGATCTAAATGTTTGTGGACCAAATATCTTCATTTCTTAATAATGTACCATTTGTTCTGCTAATTTACACCATGTAAATATTTTTAAAATAATGTTATATTGATTTTGATGGAGGAAATAAATGTTTTGTATAAAAAAAATTTTATATGTTAGCAAGTCATTTTTATAATAATAAGATAATATTGAACGAGATCTCATAGAAAAAAAATGAACATTTTAATTCTACAACATTACACATATGGCATGGAAAATTATGAACACATTCATATATGCTTGTTACAGAAAATATTGGAGCTGCACTGGTCTTATCGCCCATGTGCCCTCGAGCACCCGTGAATATAATCTTGGGCAGTTTAATTCCCGTATATTTTACTTTTGTAGCCTTTCATCACAATATACTTTACCATGTTAACAATCTGGCACATGGGTTTCTGGCAAATCCAGTTAGCCCAATAACATTTTAAATTTTCAATTTTATTGAAAAAATATAAATGCACGACAAAATATATATATATGTATATCGACTGGAAGTCACCAATTTCCAGCCATGCAACGCCTTAACATATCGAAAGCCCACGCTTTCATATTTGTCTACTCCGTTACAACAAATCAAAGCTTAGAGGAATTGTCGTCGATATTTAACATCATTAAAGAAATAAAAGGTAACATCGAAGGAATTCCCATTATGNTTAAAATTTAGGTAAAAATATTTTAGCTTTTTTTCCCTATATATTTAAAATTTAAGGAAAAATATTTTAGGTTTTTCCCCATGTTAAAACTTAGGGAAGAATAATATAAAGTGAACGGGAATTTTCAGGGAATTTTTAAAATACAGTCGGACCTACAGTTATGGCGAATATTTTTCAGGGACGTTTCTTTTTGAACTGTTCACAAAATAACCTCCAAACAACGCCCACCTCTGGACTGCGACCATTTTTTATTTCCTCGTCAGTGGCCGTTATTCAGAGGTTTGACCGTATTTAAATAATTAAAAAAAAATCTGCAGATATATATAAAATCAATAGAAAAACTAAAAAAAAGTGAAATAAAATATAAAATCTTATAAATTATTATAATTAAACGCAACTCTAAATTAATTTTTTTTAATATTTCTCTTTGTTATTTTTAAAATATATTTTTGTATAACATAATTAAATACATCGTAAACTATGTTTAAATTAATTTAAAGCACGTTAAACGTCGTAATTAGTTTTCGAATAACGGTCGTTAAGCGAGCCGTCGTCGTAAATCGAATCCCAATTTCTCATATATTTAGTATCATAAATAGAGGTTCTGTTCTAGTCTTAAGTATAATTGTAAATTACAGTAAAAAATTAGAAATATAGTCAAACCTGTGAAGAAGGACACCAACGGAAACATTTGGCCAACGTTTAAAAGTTGTTTTCTATGCAATTTTGCTTAATTAAAAAAAATCGTGAAAGATGGCCACTGTTTGGAGGTGGTCGTTGTTGCAGGTTGGACTGTATACAGGTGTTTTTTTTTTATAAATATAAGATAAAAATTTCAATTTAAATTATTTTATACTCAAATATTAAGCATTTTATCAGATACTTTTTCATGACAGGTAATTTTAAATCGATTTTTTTTGTTTTTTAATTTAAAATATGAATTTTTAAAAGTAATTCTGTCAAATTATTTAATATTCTCATAAAATAATGTTTCACTTTTTCATATCCAAAATTTCCCTAATTCAATATATTCCTTTGTCAATTTCCCCACAAGGATTTTCATAAAGAAAGATATTAAATCAGGGAATTTTACTTACAATAAGACATAAATCAGGGAATTTCCGTTAAAGAATACTAAAAATGTTTAAGACAATCTAAATTAAATTAATATTTTCTTTCCCAAATTTACTGTTTTCTTCATACATTTCTCTTTAGGGAAATGGACGTTTCCCTAAAGAGAAATGTATGAAGAAAACTGATGAAATGATCGAAGGAAATGAATTGAGTGAAAAGTATTAAATCACAAAAGTTTTAGCTTAAATTAAATCGTAAAACTCCTCACATCAAACCTTAGTTTAAATTTTAAATTAATAAAGTTCTATTTTNAAACAAAAATGCATGCAAAATAACCTCCTAACAACGGCAAATTTTTTTTAACGTTCTGGTCAGTGAACGTTGTTTAGAGGTTTCACTGTATATATATAGGCCTATATATATTTTATAATGCAAACTTCCGAAATTAAAATTTAGGGAAAAATTAACGAAAATTTTCAAGGATTTTTCATTTATTTATTTAAATAAAAACGAAATTTTTATCAAGTAACAGGGAAAATTCTAATTTAAAAAACTATATAGGGATTTTCAGCAGATAAAAGAGAGAAATTTTGATAAAAACCTAACAGAATATTTTATCATTTCATGTGTATCTAAGGGAAAATTCTGACAAAATTAGGGAAATAGCGAACAAAAGGGAATAAATACATATAATAGAGAAAATTCTGACAAAAAGTGAGAATTTTTTCTATTCATAGGGAAAATTTTTACAATATAAATTTGATAAAGATTTTTATCAGTGAATGCTCACTAAAACTAAAATGTTTAATTAGAATGTAAACTTAACTTAAAAACTATAAAAACTAAATTTATCAGGTAATAGGGAAATTTCTAGTTAAACATTAAATATTTTTTTTAATCAGATAATAGAGATAAATGCGGAAAAAATTGGGGTTGGGAAGATGAAACTAAATTAGGGAATTTTTTATCAGCTAATAGGGAAATTTTAGAGTAAAAATTAAAGCAGAATTTTATCACGATTAAAATTGCATGAAGTTTCATCATAAACGAATAAAAATTTAGCGACTAGTCATTAAAATTTTTTAATGAAACAGTAAAAAAATAGAAGGAATTTTCTATTTAAAAATAAAAGAGAATAATGTAAAGGAAAATAATTAAAACGGATTTTTTTTATTATTAAAAATCAATTAAGATATATTGCAAATATCGAATTTTATTTAATAAAATGGCCATTCTCCTCCATTATTCTTCATGGGATCTTCAATTAATTAAAATGAAAGCGTTTAAAATCCATGAAGTCGAGATATTTTCTTTGTCGTGGATTAAGTGTTCGATACAATTAACTTTAATGAAGTGTATTTACAGGTGATCAACTGTAACAAAAACATCTGCACTCTACAGATCACGGATACGACTGGAAGTCACCAATTTCCAGCCATGCAACGCCTTAACATATCGAAAGCCCACGCTTTCATATTGGTCTACTCCGTTACAACAAATCAAAGCTTAGAGGAATTGTCGTCGATATTTAACATCATTAAAGAAATAAAAGGTAACATCGAAGGAATTCCCATTATGTTGGTTGGTAACAAATGCGACGAAACCGATTGTAGGGAGATCGATTTTCAATTAGGTTTAGATCAGGCGATGAGATGGGGGTGTGGTTTTATGGAAACTTCAGCTAAAACAAATTATCACGTCAAAGAGTTATTTCAGGAACTGTTAAACATGGAAAGGAGAAGAAAAATGGGTTACAGAGACAACATGAAAAATAAGTCGCGTGATAGAAAAGAAAAAATACTTAAAGGTTGCCTGTTGATGTAAAACCAAAAAAAAAAAAACAATCGCATCTCCTTTATCCCTTTGTTTTTTCCTTTACGGGACCAGATTATTTGGGACTTTAACTATTAAAAAACTGTATTGTTTTCGATTCGTGCGGTACTGAGTGGTCCAAAAGTCAATTAACTATGGCGTGGTGTTTACAAAAGCGTTACGTAATTCTAGAGTAACAANATTACACATGCTTCTATAATATATAAATTAAAAAAAATTATTAATACTAGAGAATGGCTTCTAAATTTATAAAATGGACCTTCTGGTTTGAATGATTTTACTATGTTATCTACATTTTCTACAGGATTTAAATGGACTTTATATTAGATTTAAAAATTAACAGCATTAAGATTTACTTTTTGTAAATTAAGTAGATAAAATTAATGCCATTATGTAATAAAATAAACAAGAAAAAAAAAGCCATTTGAGTATTTTAAAAATTTCCTGGTGTTTTAGCAAATTTCATTTATTTGAAAACATATTTTAATTTTTTTATCATCAGATTTGTATTGATATAATGTGCAATATCAAAATTAGAATGTGTAAAATTTAGATTTTAGTATAAAAATTAATAATTTCATTACATGCCAACTAATTTTTTACTAATGCCAATATACATATTTATTTTGATGTAAATTATGAATTTATTTGTCCTATAAAATGGTTAATTAAATCTGAAAGATAAGGTACATACATAAATTCAAAAATCCATTTCTCTAGTTTATTCTTTTATATCACAAAAAATATCCTGATTTAATCAGGCTACTTCTTTTTTAATTATTTGAGAACAAAGATGGAAATGAAAATTATTGTCCATATATTTTATGGAAACTTAAATAGCACCAAACAACTTCACAACAATTAAATTTTTTTATATTCTATATAAACATATATCATACTATAAAATACAAAGTACAAATGAAAAAAAAAAAAAAAAGATTTTGTTTACTCAAAATACACACTAAACTACATTATCACATATATATGTTTGGGAAGAACACCAACAAAATTACATTTTATCTCCTTTATACTCCAACCGTCTTCAATCACTGCTGTCTAACAGCTTACATTACAAACATAAAATCTTGTTATTTTATTATGATTTAATCAATTATCATTAATTTGTAAGAAAAAAAAAATTACTTGAAACAACAATATTCCAAATAATTTATTTATTATTATTATTTTTTATAACAATGATGAACTAATGAACTAAACAAAAATGATAAAACTTTTGTTGTTTTACTTTTTCAATAAGCATTGCAATTAACTTTTGAAATTGAAAATGCAAAACACATTTTAAAGAAAGCAATCAGCTGCTCACACATCATGCCACTTCCAATTAACTCGTGCACATATCCGAATGCCGCCACCACTTGTCGCTTCCGGTCACATAAAGTGTTTCAACAATGTAATTATTAACACTTTAAGGACTTATCAAATCGAAAAAGTTTAATATTGTGGCTAAAACAGTTTGTCCTCCTTAACATGTTGACTGAACGCTTCTCCAATTTCATCTCCCGTGTAACATTCTTATTGCATTAATATTCATAAACCGAGAAGCGTAACAGCTTTAAACAATTTTGATGATGTTAATTCATTCAATAGCAAATATACAAACAATACGTTGCCATTGCCCTCATCAACAATTTTGAAATATTATATACAAATAATCTAATGGAAAGAATCATGGTATATATTTCATTAAAGTGTCAACACTTACTAACTATCCAGTTAAAGATATACATCATATAAAATTGAATGTTTTTAATAGAAAAACTGCTCCTATCCAGTTGTATAATTATTTAATAAAAATCTGTTTTTGTCATAAAAATTTGGAAGTTTTAAAACTAACAATAATTAAAAAAACCTACATTTGCTCATAAATGTTATTTAACATATTACATTACTAGCAATAATTGTGTTGAAATTTTTATATAAATTTACTTGGAAGCAATTAAAAATTTCACTTATCACAGCATAGTTGAACACTCTGATTTAAATCTCATTTGCTGATTATGTGTGGGTCTACAAAACAAAGAATCAAGAGAATTCTCAAATATTTGGAAAATATATTATTACAGATAAATGTAACAAACTGATTTCAATACTCTAACCAATTTTCCATAATTAAATAGTTGCATCTTTAATTAAACGATCTGCCTAAAGGCAAAATTCAAAGAGAAATAAAGAATAATTCTTAGTTAATTTTACATGCAAATGACAGCATGTATCATCTTAAGCAGTCAGTCACTATCCATGATGAAAATAGAAGTTAGAAATTAATGAATACATATTCACATCCAGAATTAAGCATCAGAGTAGAGTTAATGAATACATAAAACAAATGCCAACTGATTAATTGACTCTTGATGATGGATAGTAAATATAAAGTAGATTGTGAATGTTCATTAATTAATTTCTGAATTTGACTTTCATTGAATACAGATAAATCAATTTATAGTGCAGTTATCTGTACAAAAAGTCTCTTGACAAAAACCTAGATTATTTAAAAAAAAAATTAAGATTAATTTACAATACAAAACTTTTGCTTTATTACATCAGTGCTTTCTTTAAACCAGGGGTGTCCAACCTTTTTGTTTCTCTGGGGCACATTGGAAGAAGTCATGGAGTTTTGGGCCACAATTGGCCCAATCCTTAAATATACTTGTATATTTAAGGATTAACATGTCTAGATTACAGTAATAAGTATTAAAACTTTATTGTGAAAAAGGTTATTTTAAAAAATTATGTATACAGACACTTTCAATTTTTTACTTAGATAAATTCATTTATTATAAAGGAGACAAACAAAATGTCTATTTTACTTTTTATTTTATTTTATTTATTTTTTTAACTACTTTTTATTTTTTGGCCTTTCTCTCTTTTCCCCAAATTTGAGTCTATACTCTTTCGAGTCACAACTCCAGATTTATTTAGTATACCTCCCTCATTCACACATTTCCAAGTATTTGAAAATATTTCCTTTCAACTGAAAAAAAAAATATGTATAAAGGTTTACAGCTTTGTGAAACTTCTTTTTTGAGTTTATGCTGTTGAAATAAAAAAATAAAAAAATTTGTCAGTTTTGTTTACACATTTATTGAGCCACATTGTAACTTGCCTTGGGACGCAGGTTGGACACCCCTGCTTTAAACACAAAATACCAATATCATATATTAGGAAATAAAACTATGCCAATGATAAATCCTTTGATTTAACAAAGACATATGAATATTCATATTTTCAGCCAAAATTATATCTTCATTATATTTTAAAATAATTATGCTATCATTCAAGAGTGTACATTTATTTAAAGTTATTATATGTGATCAGTGGTGAATTTTATCTGTCTTGATAGCATGACGACTAATGATTTAATTAAGATCACTCAAAAAGAATGTTAACTCTTAATCTAATATGCTGGTAAAAATACTAAAAAAATTTGTTAAATATTTTTCATTCTATTCTCAACTTTCTACTAATAAGCAACTGCATCTAAGCACATTCTAGCAATATATACATAGCATTTTATTTTATTTTGCAATATTAATTTCCTAAACTACTAATAAAATCTAGTTTGTAAAAAAATGTAGTTGTTCTTATATTGAATATATGAATGAACTGTAAATTGCAGAAATATAGTTAATCTTATATAAACACATTTTTATTAATGTACTGCTGATCATAAAATTTGCATAACCTTATGCAAATCTGTTCTGATAATAAATAAGAAACATGCTTTATTATTAAAATGTATTGTTCTAGTAATTTATAAATATAGCATTTCTGAATGAAATTATCTTTAGAATTTTAAGCTTTAATAATTTAAAAAAGAAACAATTATTATTAATTACTGAAAAAATTATTACATATTTTTAAAATCATATATAAAATTCTTTTTTAATCCATCATATGTAAAACAAAAAATATCTTAATTTGCTTTAGAAGTTCTCTTAATTATGAACAAGTATAATTCAGCAATTTCAAAGAACAAATGAAGGAAAATCACTTATGGCTGCTGCTATTTTCGTTGTGAATTTGTCTCTTTAATCCGATTTTCAGTTCGGTAGACTATCATATACAGCATTCAGGTTATGAATTTCCTTTATTGATTTGTTATATGCATTTCGGACTCAATTGTAATTTAAGTCCCTCTTCAGTACAAACTCAGATTTCTGTTTGCTAATCAGATTTTGTGAATATGTAGTTGAAGTGTTTTTTAAATGGCTGTATTTTTATTCTTTTACAACGTTACCAATTATACACCGAAGTTTTTAGAAAACAGAATCTGAGTTTGTACTGAAGAGGGACTTAAATTACAATTGAGTCCGAAATGCATATAACAAATCAATAAAGGAAATTCATAACCTGAATGCTGTATATGATAGTCTACCGAACTGAAAATCGGATTAAAGAGACAAATTCACAACAAATGAAGGAATGATAATTTTAATGTATCACATACTCTGATATGATGTATATACGGGGTGATCAGAAAATGTCTGGCCAAAATTTAAAAGGGATTAGAGGGGACGAATATAAAAGGATTTGCAGTACAATGCTTTTCCGGAAATGCTACGTGAAAGTCCTGGAGAGTAAAGAAAGTGGAAAGGTAAAAAGGAAAGAGAGACAAATAAATGTAACAAGCCATTTATTAAATCAACATGTCACAGCAAATGCTTGAAAGAGTGACCACCAACCAGTGAAAGTTTGACGATTTGGTATTTCTCTATTGGGAAATCGTTCCCTGTACAACCTTTGTGCAGCTCTCCCGTTTCCATTCGCAGCTCTATACATCAGATGGATATCTGCTAGTTCAACATTCATAAAGCGCTGCATGGTGTATAAAATCACAGCAGGGAATGACAGCTTCCCACATTGCCGGCTTGTTTTGATTGCCCTACACAGTGCCCTCTACCACCTTCACGCGGTGTTTCTGGACAAGCATTGTACTGCAAATTCTTTTATATTCGTCCCCTCTAACCCCCTTTAAATTTTGGCCAGACATTTTCCGATCACCCTGTATATATATGTATTAATTCATGAAAATTTTCATTTCTTCAAAAAAAATAGTTTAAAAAATATATGTTAATATTGTTAAATTTGAACCAGAGATCTATATAAGTTATATCAATCAATAAACTAATCTATAAAATGAATTAAGTAAACAAGTTAACCCTGTCATTACATCAAACCTTTTATCTGTAATTTCATATTCCATTCATTAATAGTTAATAAATAAATTTCTGATTGCTATCCTTACTCCAAGCAAACAAACACTGAAGCCATATGCTAATCTTCGTCACTACTCCAATTTTCAGTCAAGTTCGTTCTTTTAATAAAAGACCTCGAGACCTTTTTATCACTTCCCACATTTTTCCGCAAATATTCTTCATAAGCTGCTTCCTGTTCTGTATCTGGTGTCCATACAAGTATGTTTCGATCATTTCCTCCTGTATATAACTCGTGATAAGTGGAACGAAAAGCACAACAGTTTACAGTATTAAAATGACCTACTAAAGTGTTTAATTTTTCACCTGTAAATAAATCAAAGATTTCTACACTTCCTCCAGATGGCACAAAAAGTACTCCTGGTTTTGAAGCATAACACATATCAATGCGTGGTATTCGAAACACTTTATTTGATACTTTACCATAATTGACCAATGTATTTTCACTTCTTGCAACATCCCATAGATGCAATTTATTATCAGTGCCGCAAGATACAAGATAAAGTCCATCGGGAGTGAAACATAAACTGTTAACAGCACCATTATGAGCTGTTATTACGGAGTTTTGATTACCCATTGCTTTTCCATTATATTGATCTAGAGAGCGCAGATATCCTTTTGCACACCTCACATCCCACAGAAGCAGATGCTGATCAGTGCCACCTGTGGCCAACAAATATTCTTCATGAGGTGACCATCTTACTACCCGAACCTTACCGTGATGTCCTCTTAATTCGTGTGTATAGGATCCTGATCTCAGATCAACAAGTATAACTCTAGGGTGTGAAACAGCAACTGAAATGATATTAAAATTCTATAATTAGAACAAAATAAATATGAATTATTTACAAAATTATAGAATTTTATTTTTCAATTATTGTAATTTTTAAATAAAAGTTTCATTTTAAATATTTTTATAACAATTTTTAATTACAAAACCACTTAATTAATTAAATTAATTAAGATAATCAGCACTGTTGAAAGGAATGGAGAGCTGGGGCTTTTTTCTCAGGCCCAGAAAAAACTTTAAAAGCCTGTAATGGTTCCTACTCAAATAAAATTAATGTTAGTTTTGCTAACAGAAAATAAAATTTTGAAGACTGTTTTTTATTTTTATAGAGAAATGTTCTATGTATATCATTTATTCAAAAGAACAAAAAAAAAAAAAAAAACCGGCTAGAGGAGCCTACAAAGAGGCAGAGGTCTTATTCTATCCTGAAATCCCAGTAGATAAGATCTTCAGTTTATTATTTACACATAGCACAGGGTTGGTAATAATGCTCCTGTACAGAAACCAGATAGACTTGGCATACACTTTACAGCTGAATACTATTCTAGCTGCCTCCCTCATATTATTCACATTTGTTGCTATTTATCTCTACACAGATCCATCAACCTTTGAATACAGATAAACAATGGTACTTTTTGTCTTTTCCAATTGCAGTATTAACTGCTTAACTTAAGTAAAGTCAAACTAAATTTAAAATAATTTAAATAATTTTAAAAATTGGTAAAGAAGTTTTATTGGTTATAGTTAAATTTTTTAGCCAACTTTAAATTTTAATTGGGCAAATTAAAAAGAATCTTAGAAAAACAGCCAAACTTAGTCAAATGATGGTACATATCTTAACAAAAGCATCAATAAATGATAATCTTTATTGATATAAAAAAAAATAAAAAATTTAAATGAATATTCAGAAAAATCTATCTTGGCAACAAATTATTATGAAATAAACACAAAAAAATAAAAAATAAAGAGTGAAAACATGTCTGAAGGATTTTTAAAAAGTAAATACAACTATTATTAGCTGTTTGTATTTTTATTTTTGTCTTTATTTAAATGAACAAAATTTCAATTAAATATAAACTAAGAAAGTGAATATAGAAGAAACATTCAAACATAAATTTGAGTTGAAGAGCATATATTTTAAATTAAATAAATTAAAAATATGCTTAAAAATTACAGCCTGGCATTATGATCATGTCACAATAAATAATTGCTCAGTTAGATTCTTTTCCTGCTTAAAAATATCTAAATTATTAAATTATAATATTAATTTTCTATTTATACTATGAACAAATAAAATTGATCACACACACACACACACACACACAATATATACATATACACAACAGTATATGTATGTAGTAAAATTCAATGTCTAAATCTCATTTTAAATAAATAAATAAAAATATACTTAATTTTACATACAATCATTCATATAAGTAAAAAAATTGTCAAGAAAGAATATTTCTTCATCTCAAAATAAAATCAATTAAAAACAAAATACTTATAAATTTTACTTAATTATTCTAAATTTCTGAGACAGTCTTTAAATATTTTATTAGTTAAATAAAACTACTTAGACAACATTAACTCAGTTAATAAAATTCTCTTCATTATCATGAACTATGTGGAAGAATGATTAAGTTCATCATAATGAACTTAATCATTCTTCCACAGTAACAACAGTTTCTGCTCTACAAACTGATTAAATAAAATAAAAAACAAGAATTTCCATTAACTAAATTCAATTTATATTTACATTTTATTCACTGAAATGTAAAAAAAGCATATAATTTGTAATTGAAAACAGTAAATAGGTTGATTTATTTAACTTGAACAGCAAAAAGTACTGTTGTTTAGATTCTGTAATTTTCATTATTTTATCAAGAAGTGACTAAATGTTTTAGAACTTATCCCTTGACATTTTTCTCATTATGATTTATTCCTGTATGATTTTTATTATATATATATAATTTTGAAAATGATAAATCAAGCTACCTAACAATTAAATAATAATACATTATTGCAATGAAATACAATTTGATTAAAGAATTATTACTAGTTTCTATTTAAAAACTGTAATTAACAGTTCATTACACAAAATGACATTAAAGATTATATTAAAACAAAAGCTATTCTTTTTTTATATCATAAACATCAAGAAAATATTTTAATTGAGTGTAATTATGTTTTTAAATTAGTTTAAAACAGTTATTTCTCAAGTAATTTTATATATTGAGTTTTTATTGTACAGGAAAACTATAAAATTAGACATTGTAATAAATGATAAGGAAATATTAATTATTATTTATTTATTTATAGTTTATGTTAATTAAACAAAATATTTTCTGTAATATTGCTTACTGGTAAAGAATACATTCTATTGATATAACTGCTCACTAGTAATAAATATGTAGAATATAGTCGACTCGTTAATAATGATCTTACACAATAATTAACTTGGCATTATCATTTTTTAATTTTTTATTCAGGAGAATTAAAAAAAAACCAGTGTTTTTTCTAGATGTCTTGATTTTCATATTCTGTATGTTTCAGACTGTTTTAAGGCTAAGTTTTATTTTCTTTATTACTATTATTAAGGAATAAATCTCATTTACAGAATAAATAAATACTATAAAAACAATATTTATAAATTAAGATTAAAATAAAGAACAAAGCTCTTGTTTTGAAGAAAGTATTAAAAGTATAGAAGAACAGTATTATATACTAATTCTTTCAATTATACATAGTCTTTACTATTTTACTTTACTACTATTGAACTTATATAGATTAAAAGAAATACAGAAAGTAATTATAGAAATTTTCATATTTAAAAAATATATATTTTTTAATTATCTGTAATTTATTACATAATTTGTGTATGTGACTTAAATTTTAAAGAATTGAATAAATTTTATACAAAACTGAATCAAATACATCATTACATATTTACTTTGATAAGATTTCTTATATACAGACAATTTACTCAATTATTTAAATGAATAAACACAAAAATAATTGAAAAATATAATTCAATCAATCAAGCAAGCAAACTTTAGACTAATAATAATAATAATAATAATAATAATTTAAATTGAAATTTCAAGAAAATAGAAGTACCAATTGTAAATGTTCTCTAAATAGATATTTTGACAGTTCTCATGTCAGTTTAAGCAAATGACTAATTATTTTGCTGTAAGGTAAAATACAGTAAAGAAACTTTATTAACAAATTTTAAATTAAATTATAAAATTTCTAAAGGGCAATACTGACATTAAAATTAAATATAATTAATTAGCTTTATAATATGAAAGAAATTTATTTAATGTCATTAAATATGCTCAACAGAAAAAAAATGTAAAGTAGAAAAATTCTAATTGATGTATAAAATTCAATGTTTTATACAACAATTTATTGTAAATATTATAAATTATCACTCAGTTGTGTAAATAAAAATATTTACAAATACCTTACTCAAGAAACTAATCAATACTGGCATTTTGCATTTATTTTAAAAAATACAATAAAATTTTACAGTCATATAATACAATAAGAAGACACTAATCGAAATATTTATACCAAATTGTTTGAATTATTATACCAGAAATCCTAATTTACAAAAATTTTTCATTGAAAGCCAATCATTGAATTTTAAATCAGCTTTGTGATTCTATTGTCAATTTACTTTTTTTTTTTTATTAGAAAGTGCACCACTCCTATGGGAGTATAACACTAGGATACATAAAACAAGATAAGTGATTCAAAGTAAATTAAACATAAAATTAGAAAATTCGGCTTTTAGTGAAAACTAAAAAGTAATATTAGAAATTAGAGATTATAAATAGTCTTTTCTTCCATATTTTTTGTATATAATTGTAAAAGGTATCAAACAGAGGCTTCTGAACAAGTTTATCCAGTGGACATGGCCACCTGAAACTATGCATGAAGATTTCTAATTTCAGAATAAGTCTATCTTGTTCATAAATTGGACAATGGTAGATCATATGGTAGACGGTATCAAGGTTTCCTGTGAAACAAAAGCAAAAGGCAGTTTCTGCCTGGTTATACATCGCCAGGTAGCTTCTAAAATTACCATGCTCAGTAAGTAGTTGAGCAGTAGTAAATGTTAAAACTCTAAGTGGTGAAGAGATTCTGCTATCAACACTAGAGAAAAACAGTCTGGTTATTTTACCTGTCTTACTGCTCAACCATTACTGGTTCCACTTCAGCATAGCATTGACACGGATATAATTTTTTAGACTGTTGCGTGGGAAAGGGATGACAGTATAGTCCAAGTCAGTGTCTTTTGCAGCTGACTTAGCCTCAAAGTCGGCTTTTTCATTTCCTATTATGCCAGTATGTCCAGGAACAAAAATAAAAGTTATCCTATTCATATGATTTTTTATACAGTGCTGGATATATGTGATTTTGTTGCTATTGCAATTGGGATTTAATAGGGCTTTTAGGACAGACTGAGAGTCATATTGAAGATGTTGAAAGAGAGAGTTTTGTTAGGTAGTGAAGTGGCCCACTGAACAGCTTGGTAGACAGCATCTTCCTCAGCTTGATAGATGGAGGTATGGGGGGGTACCTGTACCTTTTGATATATTTTGGGCAAAGTATGTCAGTTTGAAGGTAAATGCAGACACTTGACCCTACATGAAGGGGTCCTTTGGACCCATCTGTGTAGATATTAATGTCAGCATGGTCAACTAGGGTGGAAGCAGATGACTCCAGATGCACTGTGGGGATAACCCTGCTTACAGTGTAATGGATCACAGTTGGTGATGTAGTTGCAGTGTGAACAGCCGTAGATAGGAGCAGAGGCCGCTGTTGAATCTTGATGTTTGTGGTTCTGATGTAGTAGGTAAGAACTTTTTCTTCAATACATAGTGGTAAAGGAAGGAGTTCTGCTAAAATCAGAGAGGCATTTACTTCCTGTATAATAAATAAATATATATATACAGTAGACCCCCCCTATAGCACAGGTTCATATAATGCGAATTCG